TAGTCCTTTTCCAAAAATAATTTGATAATGTTTACCGTAAATGTCATATACAAAATAAAAGTGATAATCTAGAAATAGTCAAAAGCTCAAAACCATGGAAAAGGAAGACAGCATTAAATAGAGCTCTCATGAATAAGCATCAAATCTGAGCTGTCCAACAAAAAGGGAAGCCCTCTAAGTTATATAAGTTTAATCATAAAGGAAGAAGTACATTAGTCACAAAAAGAGACCACATTTATTTCTGGCATTAAATTCTAAAACAGATTTTCATTTGGGCTCTTACATAGAATAATACAGAGTGACGGTGTAGGAGTATTCTTAATGACAGTTTTACCACAAATGCAGAAGCAATTTTTTTTTTTTTGAGCCAGAGTCTCACTCTGTTGCCCAGGCTGGAGTGCAGTGGTAATGATCTCAGCTCACTGAATCCTCCGCCTCCCAGGTTCAAGCAATTCTCCTGCCTCAGCCTCTTGAGTAGTTGGAACCACAGGCATGCACCACCATGCCCAGCTAAGTTTTGTATTTTTTTTTTTTTTGTTAGTAGAGATGGCCATGTTGGCCAGGCTGGTCTCAAACTCCTGACCTTGTGATCCGCCCACCTCAGCTTCCCAAAGTGCTGGGATTACAGGCGTGAGCTACCATACCCAGTTGCAGAAGCAATTTTTATGACTTTTTATGTCTGAAACTTTTTATACATTTATAGTTTATAAAGTACTCTGTAGTACTTTAAAAACTAGTTCATCAATGTTTAAATATTCTTGGACTTTTTAAATGAGAAACAGTTATTAGCAATCAATTTTTTCTTTGGCTGCAGGGAGTTGGAGGCATTTCTTCTCCAAACTGGCCCAAATGATAATATTACAGAGAAAAAGCTAATTAGAATGGCAACAATAGAAAGTTGTACTTAGGCTGGGCATGGTGGCTCACACCTGTAATCCCAGCACTTTGGGAGGCTGAGGCAGGAGGATTGCTTGACCTCAGAGGTTTGAGAGCAGCCTGGGCAACATAGCAAGACCTTGTCTCTATTAAAAAAATTAGTTGGGTGTGGTAGCGCACACCTGTAGTCTGAGCTACCTGGGGGTGGGGATGGGAGCTGAGGCAAGAGGATTGCTTGAGCCTGGAGATCCAGGCTGCAGTAAACTGTGATTGTGGCACTGCACTCCAGCCTGGGCAACAGAGCAAGACCCTGTTTAAAAAAGTAAAAAATAAAGAAAGAAATAAAAAAGAAAATTGTACTTAATATTCATAAAAGATTATTTGCCTTTGATTGTAGGCTGAGACTAAATCTGTCACTGTATAAGAATATACCTAAATTTAAAGTAGTCTTCAACATAGTAAAGAAGCTCAATTACTTCCATAATAAAATAAATGCAAATTAAAACTATGCTGAAGTACCTTGTTTTTTCATTGTTGAAGATCAAAAAGGCTTGATAATTTATTGTCTTGTTCAGGATGTTTGGAAACAGGTTCCCTCATATAAACTGATGCGAATATAAATTGGTAAAACTCCAGTGGAGGGCAATTTGGTAATAGCTATCTAACTACAGATTCATGGAGTTTTAACTCTTTGATCAGGTAATTCACTTCCAATAAATGATGTCAAGGTCATCAATGACCACCACATTCTTAAAACCATTGGTCTGTTCTTGGGGTCGTTTTGACCTGTCATCAACATTTAACTACTCAATCCTCCCTGTGGAACTTTCTTTACTTGGTTGTGAGGACACTATACTCTCCTGCCTTTACTCCTCCCTCCCTGGCCTTCTTTATCTCTCCACATCTAAATGTTGGGGTCCCACAGAACTCAGTGCTTGAACACCTTTTCTATCTATACTTACTTCCTTGGTTTCTATCTAGTCTTGTGGCTCTAAATATCATCTCTACGCTCTTGGCTCCCACATTTATATTTCAAGCTGAACCTCTCCTAACTCTCACATGCTCTCTGGTCAGAGCCATAGTAGTCCCTCATCTGGTTTCCTTACAGCTACCATTCCATCCTTCAATTTCTTCTTTTTTATTTTCTAATAATAGCTTTATTGAGATATTTTCACATACCATATAGTTCTCTACTGCCAACACCTTTTCTTTCATTTTTTTCACCCATTTAAAGTATCCATTTCTAATCCCTTTGTAGTTCATAAGCGTAATAACTGGCTGTTCATGCTCATGCATGGGCTCTGCCTCCCTCAAGCCTTGTTATGACATCGTCATATTACCTGTCTGATGTGAACTTAGAAAAATAAAAATAAGGCTGGGCGTGGTGGCTCATGCCTGTAATCTCAGCACTTTGAGAGGCCGAGGCAGGCGGATCACCTGAGGTCAGGAGTTCAAGACCAGCCTGGCCAACATGGTGAAACCCTGTCTTTAAAAAAATAATAAAAATAAAAAATAAAAATAAAATAAAGTGTATAATTCAGTGACTTTTAGTATACTCACAGAATTGTGTAGCCACTCCATAATCAACTTTATAAATATTACAATTATCCTCAAAATTGAAATCCCATTTACATTAGCATTCTTCTTTTCCTCTCAACCATTGTGCCAACTCTTCCACCTTGAACCCCCAAGCCTAAGCAGCCATTTATTTCCTTTTTTTCTCTATAGATTTGCCAACTCTGGAATCATAGAATATGTGGTGACTGGCTTCTTTGATTTAATGTAATGTTGTTAAGGTTTAGTCATATTGTAGTATATATCAATACTTAATTTCCTTATTGCCAAATAATATTTCATTGTCAAAGCAGGAACGAGAGAGAGAGAGCAGGGAGGGAGTTGGGGTCGGTGCCCCAAACTTTAAAATGACCAGTTCTTGCAAGCGCTTAGTCACTGTCATGAAGACAGCACCAAGCCATGAGGGATCCACCTCCATTATCCAAACACCTTCTACCAGGCCTCACCTCCAAAGTTGGGAATTATAATTCAACATGAGATTTGGATGGGGACAAATATCCAAACTATGTCACCTGCTTCCTCACTTCCCTCAGGTCTTTACTCAAATGTTATCATCTCAGCAAGGCCTTCCTGGTGAAATATGTTCCTGCATTCCACCACCCTCAACCCTTAACAGAGTCTGTCTGCCTTCTTGCATTATTTTTCTCCATGGGACATATTACTAGCATATTTATCTTGTTTATTTATCTCATTTATTGTCTCTCTTTCCTCACTAGAATGTAAGCTCTATAAGGGTAGAAGTTTTTGTCTATTTTGTTTAATGCTCTATTCCCAAACCTAGAAAACTACCTGATGGACAATAAGCACTCAGTATCTATTTTTTTGTTTGTTTGTGTTTGGGAGACAGAATCTTGCCGTGTGACCTAGGCAACTATCTTGGCTCACTGCAACCTCCACCTCCTGGGTTCAAGCAATTCTCTTGCCTCAGCCTCCTTGAACTACAGGTGTGCACCACTGCACCCAGCGAATTTTTGTATTTTAGTAGAGACAGGATTTCACTATGTTGCCCAGGCTGGTTTGGAACTCCTAAGCTAAGGCAGTCTACCCGTCTCAGCCTCCCAAAGTGCTAGAATTACAGGAATGAGCCACCATGCCCAGCCTCTCAGTATTTATTTTGAATGAATGAATAACATTGCCTCTGGAGAGGAAACTAGGAGGCTGGGCAATAAGGTTGAAATGAAATATTTTGCTATATAGTTTCATACCTTCTAAATTTTGAATAATATAAATAGATTACCTATTTAAATAAATAGAATTAAAATTAGTAATTGTGAACAGAGTTATCATTACATAGAACCTAGGAAGAAAAATAGATTTTATGAGTGTGATTGCGGACTTCGAGTTAGTATAATATATTTAGCAAGAACCTAAACTAAAAGGGATCTATAACTTAATTCCTTCTAGGTTCTTGTAAGGGCTTCTGAAAATAGAAGGTAGAGGTTTTGGCATAAGTAGTTTAAGAGTGAGCCGGGCGCGGTGGCTCAAGCCTGTAATCCCAGCACTTTGGGAGGCCGAGGCGGGTGGATCACGAGGTCAAGAGATCGAGACCATCCTGGTTAACATGGTGAAACCCCATCTCTACTAAAAATATAAAAAATTAGCTGGGCATGGTGGCATGTGCCTGTAATCCCAGCTACTCAGGAGGCTGAGGCAGGAGAATTACCTGAACCCAGGAGGCGGAGGTTGCGGTAAGCCGATAACGCGCCATTGCACTCCAGCCTGGGTAACAAGAGCGAAACTCTGTCTCAAAAAAAAAAAAAAGTGACAAAATGTGTTTTTTTACTCACTTTAAGGTTTGATAACATTATTGTAATTTAATGCAGTCCTATAAATTATGCCAAGAATATACTTTTATGGTAGCTGGGGAGGATAAAAGAGTTTTTGCTTGCCTTTCACCTGGATTTCCAAATCATTCTATTTTTAGAGATGTTACAGAGTGCCTCTAAAATGATGACAACCATTTATTTCAAAAACCCAATCAATGGGCTGGGTGAGGTGGCTCATGCCTATAATCTCAGGACTTTGGGAGGCCAAGGCGGGTGGATCATGAAGTCAGGATATTGAGACTATCCTGGCCAACATGGTGAAACCCTGTCTCTACTAAAAATACACAAATTAGCTGGGCATGGTGCCATGTGCTTGTAAGCCCAGCTACTTGGGATGCTGAGGCAGGAGAATTGCTTGAAACTGGGAAGCGGAGGTTGCAGTGAGCTGAGATCATGCCACTGTACTTCAGCAAAACACAGTCAAACAGCCCTTGTATACTACAGTTTTTAAAAATATGTAAGGATAAAGCCAGGGCTCAAATTAGCCAAAAATACAACTTAGATACTCCCTAAGAAGCTGCTTTCTGACTCCCTCCTTTATGGTCCATAGCCATATACTGTGCTGTGGTTCACATCTAGGGTTTTACATGAGAGAATAGCACAGTGCTCAAGTGTAGTAGGGGAACAGACCTTAGATATACCCCACCCAGACACTTTGAGGGTAAGAAAATGTAAATCTGTAGATAATAAAAATTTTTTGCTTTTTATTCTTTCCTGATACAGGGTTAAGGAAATGATTCCTCCAAGGCCTCCTCTTACCCGTCGGACAGGAGGAGCTCAGAAGGCAAGTGCCAGAGGCAAGATGAAATGATAAGTAATATGATATTAAGTACATGCACTTGATAATTGCATGGACTCTTTAATATGTCTTCCAGAAGGGGTGAAAACTTGTTTGAAGCTTTATATATTTTCATTGCTGGTTCTATTTGTGATCAATGACATACAGCATACAATGTTTTATCTCTGGCTGGTGGTCTCTCAGCTGGGAAGAAAAGGGCATTTTACATTCAAAGTATTACTGGGTGTGGTGACACGCACCTGTAGTCACAGCTACTAGGGAGGTTGAGGCAGGAGGGTAGCTTGAGGCCAGGAGTTCAAGGGGGAAGTAAGCTATGATCACACCATGCACTCCAGCCTGGGCAACAGAATGAGACCTTGTCTCTGAAACAAACAAACAAAATAGTATTAACATAAACCAAATCCCAGTTTTAGACTTCCAATCCATGGTCTTGACCTCTTTGAGGCCTCTACCAGATGCTTTGTATTTTCTTAGGCAGTGAGTGACTACCACATACAGATCAAGAATATTTCTAGAGCCATTCTAGATGAATACTACAGAATGTTTGGAAAACAGGTGGCCACACTGGAGAGTGATATGGATAGTGAAACCTTGGAGGAGCAGAAGTGCCAGCTGAGCTATGAACTTAATTGCTCTGGAAAATACTTTGCTTTCAAAGAACAACTCAAGGTAAATCATTCACTTGTTTAATTATTCCACAGGTTTTTATGGAGCACCTTCTCCACATACCCAGTTAACATTTTCTCCTCTGATTATGTTCAGCTATACTCCTACCTTTCTCGGTAGGGGCAAAGAGCTAAGTACTCTATGATAGAGTGTCAGGAGAAGCTCCATTCCTGCAGTCTTGGAATAACTTATTACATATATTCTAAGTGGAAGCTTTTAAGAAACTAATTATTCACTTGAGGCTGGGCCAGATTTTGGACCAGATTTCGTTGTCACTATAGGAGCCAGAAACTCTGGTACTGACTCCATAATTAATTCTCCTTGCCTCCCATTCAAATCTCTCTCTAAAAAAGTTATTTTTAGACTTGAATTTGAAGATGAAACAGTTATCAGGAAGGAGGCCTTAATGATTAGGACTAGAATAGCATGTCTTGAGTTAGGATACATTTAACTACTGGCATTACATTTCACTTTTTAAAATTCAGAATGTATAAACAAAAACAAAAACTCCATTCCCAGGCATCAGAGAAATAAAAATTAAAAAAAAACAACAACTCCATATCTCTCCGTAAGCTATAGAATCACTAAGGTTTGAGACATAGTTAATTTAATAATCATTTCTTGAATAATAATGGCTAACATTTATTGCGTGTTTGCTGTTTGCCAGGCAAATTTGCCAATGCTTCATCTTTTACTAATGTAATCCTTATAACAGTCCTATAAAGTAGGTGTTCCTCATTTTATAGATGGGAAAATATAATATTAGTTGACTAAGGAATTTGTCCAAAGTCACAGAGATAGTAAAGATCAGTGTTGAGATTTAAATTCAGGCAGTCAGCTCTAGAACTCACATTCTTAACTGCTACACTACACTGCCTTTGTACACACACTTACTGTGTGTCCTGTACTGTAAACAGATATAAAGAAAGAACATGGAAGTCATAGAGCATAAAAACAACATAGAACATAGAGCAAAAAAACAACAAATGTTCATTGAAGCAAGGGGGTGCTCTCAGCAGGTGATGTAGTCATGTCTCAGTTTGAGTCTTGGTTCTACATTTACTAGTTGGGTGACCTTGAAATGTAACTTTACCTTTCTGTGCCTCAGTTTCTTTACCTAATAACAGGGATGAGGTTAATATTACCACATAGGGTCATTATAAGAATTAAATAATACAATGTAAACCTGGCAATAATGTTACCCTAGTGGGGAAAAAAGAAGCTGTCCTGGCCGTAGCAACATGCTATGTTTATATTTGTGCAGCATTTTAAACTTCTGTACTTGTTATTTCTCTTTGGCTTCTCAATCATCTTCTGAAGTACAATAATAATAACAGAACTACATATCCTCTTAACAAACGAGGAAGCTGAGGTACCAAAGTGTAAAATAATTTATGAGGTTGTGCAGTGGCAGCCTTAGAACCAGAATTTTGATTCTCTGGACTCTCAGCCCAGGCCTTTCTTTCTCCCTTTGAGCTTTGAACCATATGGCCACCATGAGAAACATAACGCCTAAACCTAATGCTCAGATTTTCTTCAGCTTTACGATTCTCTTCATATAGTATGAGCTCTGCGTTGCTTCAATTAGTGATGTTGGTGATGTCAAGGAAAGAAATATCTAGAGTATGTTGACTGAGGGAAAATTGGAGAGCCTATAGTCAACCAGCCACCAAAGGAGAAACCAATCGCCTTCTGAAATTTCCATCAGCCTTAGACCAGAAAGCCCTAGAGAGACCTGTGCTGTCAGCATGGTGCTGGACTGTGTTATCAGATGGGTGATCTGTGTGTTTTGCAGCATGCTGTGGTAAAGATTGTGAGAGAGAAATACTTAAAGACAACATCATTTGAAAGCCAAGAGGAACTGCAGACATTTATCAGTGAGCTCTACGTGTTCTTAGTAGATCAGATGCATGTAGCCCTAAACCAGGTAGGTATCAAGAACTGAGAGCACTTTCTTTTCTCTGTAGAGCATCAAGGTCTTCTATGAATAATTCCTTCCTTTGGTTATTCAACAAATATTTATTGAAGTGTCTGCTCTGTGCTAGGCACTGAGAACACAAAGATGAGTAAGAAACTGCCTAAGCCTAATTACTTTAAGACTAACTTTGGAAAGAACAAGGAGATATGCTTTTTCAATTTCCTAGAAAAATAAATTTCACAACTTTAAAAAATGTAATGGAATTGTCAAAAATAGATAAAATAGGCCGGGTGCGGTGGCTCAAGCGTGTAATCCCAGCCCTTTGGGAGGCCAAGGTGGGTGGATCACGAGGTCAAGAGATCAAGACCATTCTGGCCAATATGGTGAAACTCTGTCTCTACTAAAAATACAAAAAAATTAGCTGGGCGTGGTGGTGTACGCCTGTAGTCCCAGCTACCTGGAAGTTTGAGGCAGGAGAATTGCTTGAACCCGGGAAGCGGAGGTTGAAGTGAGCCTAGATCATACCACTGCTCTCCAGCCTGGCATCTGGCAACAGAGCAAGACTCTGTCTCAAAAAAAAAAAAAAAAAATAGATAAAATAGGTTGTGTAAATTGTGAAATTAAAATTATCATTCTGTTCTGTGAACAGGTACAATTCTCCATTTTTTATTGAAGATCATAAAAGCAGAGAAAAATTATGAGTTTTCAGATTTTATACCCAAATGGCAGTGACACTTCAAACACACCTTTTCTGTTTGACTAGTGGTCTGCTGTCCCACCCACTTTTCTGTTTATATTAATAAATCTTGCATCTTGCCTTCATTTGCTTATTTTTGTACATATTCAGGGGTAGTTTATTTGAAACTAGTGGCAAAGTCAAAGTCTTTTTGTCCCTCAGTAGTGTCTAACCATCTGTGCCTCCTCAAATTATCTGTTTTATTTGCTTTTTCCTTCCTTTTCTTCTCTACCTTTTGTTTCACTTTGTTCTGTCTTCCTGGAGGAGGTAGGACAGGAGTGTCCAGCATCAAATGATTAAGAGAACAGTCCTGCCTTGTGCATGAATGATTTGATTTGAAAAGCAATTGAGAGTGGAGCATGAGAAAAATTTTTCCTTGATAGTGGTTGGGAGCAATACATTGAATTATTTTACATTGAGGTCTAATATGATCAGGTTTGCATTTGCTAAAACACTCTGATAGCACTATGGAGGATGAGTTAGAGGTGACAAAACTGATGATGTTAGTTGATTATTGCATAATAAAGGGAAAAAGTTTAAGTTAAGTTTACAGTTCAGTGGGTAATTGATACCATCAGTACTAAAAAGAAAAGAAAAACATTAATCAGGACATGGAATGCAATATCAGTAAATTTAATGGTGGACAGATGGTGCTGAATTCGCTTTTGAACATTGGCTCTAGTGGGGTTTTGCTTAAGATAGAGATCTGAGCTAGAAACGAGATTTGGGGAGCCATGATATATGGATGCTATGGTAATAGATAAGGCTGCTTGTGAAAAACATAACAGAGAAGAGAGCTTGGCAGTAGAACCCTAGGAAATACCAACATTTAAGGAATGAATGAAAAATTGAGAGACGAAGGTAATTGTTAAAGAGGCAAAGAGCCAGAAGACAATGGTGTCACAAAAGCCAAAGGAAAAGAATTTTAAGGAAAAGTGGTCAAGATTGTCAAATGCTCCTAGAAATTCAAGGAAAACAAATCTGGTCTTCATTGGATTTCACAATAAGGAAGTTATTGTTAACCTTTACATACCAATATTATTGGGCTAATAGGGGAATTCAAATTATGATGAATTGAAGAGTAAATGAGCAATCAAGAAACAGATGAATATAAATTCAAGTTGGATGATGAAGGAAAAAAGTAGAAAAGTAGTAGCTAGAAATTACAGGGATTTTCTTCCATCCCTCCCTTCCTCCTTTCCTCCCTTCCTCCCTTCCTCCCTTCCTCCCTTCTTCCCTCCCTCCCTCCTTTTCTCCTTCCCTCCTTTCTCTCTCTCTCTCTCTCTCTCTCTCTCTCTCTCTCTCCCCCTTTCTCTTTCTTTCTTTTCTCTCTGTCACCCAGGCTGAGTGTAGTACTGCGATCATGGCTCACTGTAGCCTCAACTTCCCAGGCTCAAGCAGTCTTCCTGCCTCAGCCTCTCAAGTAGCTGGGACTATAAGCACACACCACGCCTAGCTAATTTTTTTTTTTTGAGACGGAGTTTTGCTCTTGTTACCCAGGCTGGAGTGCAATGGCGTGATCTCGGCTCACTGCAACCCCCGCCTCCTGGGTTCAGGCAATTCTCTTGCCTCAGCCTCCTGAGTAGCTGGGATTACAGGCACACACCACCATGCCCAGCTAATTTTTTGTATTTTTAGTAGAGACAGGGTTTCACCATGTTCACCAGGATGGTCTTGATCTCTCTACCTCGTGATCCACCCGCCTCGGCCTCCCAAAGTGCTGGGATTACAGGCTTGAGCCACCGTGCCCGGCCCCTAATTTTTTGTATTTTTTGTAGAGATGAGATTTCACTATGTTGCCCAGGCTGGTCTTGAACTCCTGGGCTTAAGTGACCCACCAGCCATGGCCTTCCAAAGAGCTGAGATTACAGGCATAAGCCACCGCTCCTGGCCTGGGATTATCTTTTTAAGATGAAAAAGACTTGAGCACATCTACAGTTTTGGGGAAAAGTCAGCAGAGTGGGAAAAGCTGAAAATTGAGGAAAGAGAGGGTATAATTGATAGATCCATCAATTAAACAACTGGAAAAGGACCAAAAATTTAAATAGAAGGATTAACTTTGAAACAGAGAAGGATACAATACCTCTTTCTCTAAGACTGAAAGGAAAGTGATACAATAGATCCAGAAATAAATAATTTAGCTAGGGAGTTTAACAGTTGAAGACTTTCTTTTTCTTTCTTTCTTTCTTTCTTTTTTTTTTTCCCGAGACGGAACTTCACTCTTGTCATCCAGGCTGGAGTACAGTGGCATGATCTTGTCTCACTGCAAACTTTATCCCCCTGTTCTCCTGCCTCAGCCTCCTGAGTAGCTGGTATTACAGGTGCCCACCACCACACCAAGCTAATTTTTGTATTTTTGGTAGAGACAGGGTTTCACCATGTTGGGCAGGCTGGTCCTGAACTCCTGACCTCAGGTGATCCGTCTGCCTCAGCCTCCAAAAGTACTGGGATTGCAGACGTGAGCCACCACACCTGGCCAGTTGAGGGATTTCTTACTTAATGATTTCTATTATCTCTGTGAAGTAAGGTCTTTACTGAAAGTGAAGGGGATGAGGAGTGAATGAAAAGCTTGAAGAAAGAGAAGAAAACTTAGATATTGCATGGCATTATGGAATATGCTGCTAAACAAAGACAAATACATAGATTACTAAGGGTATCAAAGGTCTCCAGCTAAGATGGAATGCCACAAGAGTTTGTGCTAGTCTTTGTGTCTGCAGTTTTCCTTAGGACCAGTTAGCTGCTCTTGTCTTAGAATGAAGAAGTCAGATTGTACTACTGTTTTAATTTGAGAATTTTCAGGACAAGCGCAAGAGAAGGGCAAGTATGTCTTGGATGAGAGTATGCTGGTGAAAGAGTAGCCTGAGTGGGTAATCATGAGGTTCAGGCTGATCCATTTGGGAAGTGATGGGCTTATTGGAACTGAAGGAAATAAAGTCAGAGAGCAGTTTTCAGTGGGCTAAGTGACAAAAAGCTGGAAGACATGGAATGTTGGTTCTGGGAGTGGGATATTAGAGTATTCTGTTTTGGATGTAGAAGTGTGTTGCTTCAAGGATTTTGGGGTCAAGACAATCAAGATAACTAAAAAGAACAGGACAAAAGCATTAATCAATGATCAGAGATTCTCTTTGTCCTATCTCAAATGTGGCTTTACTGTCCACATTTCTTAGCACTTGCACTTTGGGAGGCCAAGGTGGGCAGATCATGAGGTCAGGAAATTGAGATCATCCTGGCCAACATTAATTGTTTAATATAAAAATTAGCTGGGTGTGGTGGTGGGTGCCTGTAATCCCAACTACTTGGTAGGCTGAGGCAGGAGAATCGCTTGAAACCAGAAGGTAGAGGTTTCAGTGACCCGAGATCCCACCACTGCACTCCAGCCTGGGCAACAAGAGCGAAACTCTGTCTCAAAAAAAAAAAAAAAAAAAAAATGTCACTGATACTATTTTGACTTCTAATTAAAGAATTTTTGTGGACTCTCTCTTGACCATAGCTTTTGACTCAGGAGATTCCTAATTACACCAGACCTGCTCTCACAATCTGTGTATACAGGATATATTCTTTTTCTGATTTCCCCCTACCTTTATATCTCCTTTGCAGGATCTATCCATCTATATTTTCTACTAAAACTGTAGATTTGGCTTCTAAAGCTTTACTCTTTATGTCCTGTTTTCTTCATATTTAAAGACTCTAGCAAGGGCTTGCCAATCTTTTTCATGTCATCTCACACACAAGAAAATGATAGTATTTGTCATATACACTAGAGAAAATGAAGGAAGCTGTTTGAGGTCAGAGGTGACCTGCATAGGGACTCTGAGTGCCCTGAGGGTTGAGGCAGTTATTTCTGCCCTAAGCAATTTTTACTTACTTCCATGAGCTCAGACTGTTGGTATTCAGATACCTGAGCGTCTTTTTCTCCCTTGACATTTCTCTCTTGGTTAACTCATATTCTCTTACTTTTTTGGCAAGACTGTCATTGTAGATATCAATCAATATAATTTTAGACATCCTGACTGGATCTCACATTGGATTTATGCTTATGAAATCTCTCTACTTGTAATTGTTTCGTTTTTGTCTACCTAACGTCTTGACATTGACTAGACCATGCCAGAAGATGCCCAAGGCACTATTGCAACCATTTATACAAGCAGTGAACAGCTTAGACTCTTTGCGTTTGAAGCAGAAGTCAATGAGAACTTTGAAATGGCAGCAGCATATTATAAAGAGGTAATTAAACATCTCAGTGATTGTTACTATTACTTCTATAATATGAGCATAATAGTCATTTTTGATTGTTTAAAATCCAGCTTGATTGGTGAAGGGGTAGACAATAAAATAGAATAATAAAATAGCGTCCAAAAATAGGCTCACACAAATAAGGTCATTCCATTTTTGACAAATGTAAAAGAAATTCAATGGAGAAAAGATAGTCTTTTCAGTAAATAGTGTTAGTAACAATTGTGGAAAATAAAATAAACCTCAACCTTAAACATTTTACAAAAATCAACTCTAAATGGATCATATGTCTAAATGTAAAACATAAAACTATAACACTTTTAGAAGAAACAGGACAGAATCTTGACCTGGAATCAGATAGAGTTCTTAGACATGACATTGAATCATGATCGCTCAAAGAAAAATGTGATAAATGGAATTTCATCAAAGTTAAAAACTTTTGCTCTATGGAGGTCATAAGAGAAAGAAAAGGATTCCTAAATCTGTGACATATGAAAAAAGAGAAAGAAAAGGAAAAGCACAGATTAGGAGAAAATATTTGTAAAACATACATACATATATATATATATATATATATATATATATATATATATATATGACAAAGGATTTGTATCCAGAATACAAAGCACTCTCAAAACCAAAAAATATTTGTACATAAACATTCATTATGAGTACCTGTTTTTAATTATTTTGGCTAATACTTACAAATGAAATTGCTGGGACATATGGTAATTCTGTGTTTAACTTTTTGAGAATTTTGAGGCATTTCACTGGGATTTTGATAGGGATTGCCTTGTAGCTGTAGCTTGCTTTGGATAGTATTAGCATCTTAGCAATATTAAGCCTTCCAATCCATGAACATGGAATGTCTTTCCATTTATTTATGTCTTTTCAAATTTCTTTAAGCAATTTTTATAGTTTTTACTCATCATGAATTGCATTTTTCAGATTTGTAGATAGATAAACAAATATTTGCCATCTCAAGATTATTGCAGAAATTATTATATATGGTTGATATACAATACAATGAATCTTTAGGCTCCCAAGGTATTAGATGAGTTTAGAGTGACCAGAATACTGACACTAGGAACAAATAGCTTGATGGTTCAAATTTTTAATTATATCAATACTTTTTTCAACCACCTCCTAAAGGCCAGAACAGTGATTGCACTAGGCATTTGAGATTCAGTGATAAGCAAAAAAAGTCACAATCTGTGCTTTCATTGAACTTTCATTATTTATAGTGTTTACCATGTGATATTGTATGCATTAAAATATGACATAGTATCACAATAACCTTGGCTCTCCTGATGCTTAGAGATTGGTTCGTGAGCCCCAGAATCTGGATCACTGGTTGGACTATGGTGCCTTCTGCCTCTTAACTGAAGACAACATCAAAGCACAAGAGTGTTTTCGGAAAGCGCTTTCCCTCAACCAGAGTCATATCCACAGGTATAGGTGGAAGGGAGATGAGGAATCAGTGGGAAGGAACAGAAGATTCTACATGAAATTGTCTTGGTTCCATAAATGTGACATGGGACCATGTTGTTTATCATGTTGGTGATCTTTTCTCAGCTTGTTGCTGTGTGGTGTCCTGGCTGTCCTGTTGGAGAACTATGAGCAAGCAGAAATTTTCTTTGAGGATGCTACTTGCTTGGAACCAACTAATGTTGTAGCCTGGACTTTACTTGGTATTGTATTTTCCTTTAATCTGAATGTGTTTCTTTCCCCATTATAAGATTCTCCCTTTTTCCTTTCTCTTCTTCAATAGTTCCTCATGTAGTTCTTAAACGTTGGTAGAAATATGGGAAAAATAAGTGAAATACAATTCTTTAGTATAAGATAGTAGAAAAATAGTCATATTTATTTCAACATTTTTCTTTCCCCAGGTTTGTACTATGAAATTCAAAACAATGATATTCGAATGGAAATGGCATTTCATGAGGCCTCCAAACAGCTTCAGGCACGAATGATTCAGGCACACGTAACAAAGCAAAAGAGCATTGGTACTGTAGAGGACATTGAGGAAGGAGGGAAGAGAGAATCCAGTTTAGGCCCTTGGGGAATCACAAATGGTTCTGCAACAGCAATCAAGGTGGAAGCCCCAGCAGGTAGGGCCGGGTGTGGTAGCTCACACCTGTAGTCCTAGCAATCTGGGAGGCTGAGATGGGAGGATCACTTGAGCCCAGGAGTTCAAGGTTGCAGTGAGCTGTGATCATGCCACTGCACTCCAGCCTGAGTGACAGACCAAGATCCCATCTCTAAAACGAAATTTAAAAAATAAAAAGTATTGGCCTTAAGAAGAGAAGCTGGCACATAATAGGCACTCAGTAAATTTTGTTAAATGATGAATACATGGAGTTTGAGTTATGTCAGGGATACCAGGAAAAACTCTTAACTTCTAAGTATTTCCTCATTCATATAATTAGTGGTCTGAAGCTTCTACTGCTGAGATGCAGTTGTTTTAATCTTAGATAATTTACTGTCTTTAAAAGGGATACCATTCTGTCAGAGTAAATTTCATTCCCCCCCCCACTTTTCTCTCCACCACATAAAGTCCCTCTCTTATGATTCTCAAATTTCTTTCTTTATGTACTCCCTTTCCCTCACTGTTCTGTGATTCTCTTTTCCTCCACTTTAGGAATTCAATCATTCTAATGCATGGTATATATGTTTTTGTTTGTGTGTTCCTTTCATGTGTGCATTATTATTTTGTTTGCCTACACTTTTTAACAGTTTGATGTGTAATTGACATTTCAAAAACTGTACATATTTAATATATACAATTTGATAAATTTTGACATAAGTACACAATTATGAAAAATCACCACAAGCAACATAGTGAACATATTCATTGTCCCTAAAACTTTCCTTATGACCAGTTGTGGGCATCTCTTTCTCTTGCACTCATTTCCAGACAACCACTGATCTGCTTTCTGTCATCATAGATAAGTTTGCATTTTCTAGAATTTTTGAATTCTAGAAAACACCTGGAATTTTCTAGAATTTCCAGAATTAAATAGAATCACACACTATGTACTCTTTTTATATCTAACATTTTCAATAAGCATAATTACTTTGAGATCTAAACATGTTGCTTATATCAATATTTCATACCTTTTTATTGCTAAGTAGTATTCCATCATGTGCATATCCCACAAATAGTTCATCCATTCACCTGTTCATAGATATGAGTTGTTTTTAGTTTGGCACAATTAAAATATAGCTACTATGGACATTCATCTATAAGTCTTTTTTTTTTTTTTTTTTGAGATGGAGTCTTCTCTGTCACCCTGGCTGGAGGGCAGTGGTGTGATCTTGGCTCACTGCATCCTCTGCCTTCTAGGTTCAAGCGATCCTGCTGCCACAGACTCCCGAATAGCTGGGACTATAGCTATGTGCCACCATGCCTGGCTAATTTTTGTATTTTTAGTACAGACAGGGTTTCATCATGTTGCCCAGGCTGGCCTCGAACTCCTGACCTCAGGTGATCTGCCTGCCTCAGCCTCCCAAAGTGCTGGGATTACAAGCGTGAGGCATCACATCCAGCCTCTTGTTATTTTATTTTTTTTCTTTTTTGAGACAGAGTTTCACTCTTGTTACCCAGGCTGGAGTGCAATGGCGCAATCTCGGCTCACCGCAACCTCCGCCTCCTGGGTTCATGCAATTCTCCTGCCTCGGCCTCCTGAGTAGCTGGGATTACAGGCACGTGCCACCATGCCCAGCTAATTTTTTGTATTTTTAGTAGAGACAGGGTTTCACTATGTTGACCGGGATGGTCTTGATCTCTTGACCTTGTGATCCACCCGCCTCGGCCTCCCAAAGTGCTGGGATTACAGGCTTGAGCCACCGCGCCCAGCGCCTCTTGTTATTTTCAATACAGATTTTATTAGTAGTTATTTACCCCATTCAATTTGCATTGAGGCCTAACTTAATCTTTTCAAAGAACCAGCTTTTGGTTTTGTTACTGTTCTCTGTATTTGTTCTTTAAATCATTGATTTATGCTTCTAAAGTTTAAGTATTTCTTTTTTTTTGAGTTTGAAATGTTTATTTTTTTCAGTTTATGTTCATCCTCTTTATGTAATCATATCAATTTTTTTTGGTCGTAAAATCAATGATCTTAGCCTGAATTTCATAGAAAATAGAGCCTGAGTCAAGAATTTAATGGTAATACTTTAATTGGAAGAGTTAATTTCAGGAAAGAATAGTGAAGAAAAAACAGTAAGAGAGGTAACAAAGGATATGAACCAATGTAAGGTGACACCTTCTGTCTACATTGGCCATTTCATTATGATAAACTGCAAAGAATGCAGCTGGTTGCTTTGCAGGTAAACTTGCTTAGTCTTGCGGGACATCTCCAAGCATTCAGGCCATATAGGGAAACCATGACTCTGAATGATAAGGGGAGGAGGAAGGAAAGATAATCTGTTCTTTTGTCTCTTCCACTGGTCAAAATTAATCACCTGTGGAGTTAATGTCACCCATACTTCCAAGTTTTATAGTCTGATCCTTTTGGCACCTGCTTGGGAAGTCATATGCCATACCCTAAAGTGCAGCATTTTGTCCAATCCAGAAGTGGTGGGAAGAGCCAGGAACTCAGATTATGTGGCTGGTTTAACTAACTGCCCAACCAAGGAGTCAGGGAAGGCTTGGCTCTCTTTGGTGAATAAGTAAGTGTTTCCTAGGTAGTAGGACTCCATGAACCCAACTGCTGGCAGTCAGCCTTAGCAGCAGGACTGTGACTGGGCCTCTCATAGAGAAGTAGTTGCCACAGTGCCTGATAACAGAGCTTGCATGCACCTGAGAGTCCAGAAGACTATGGCATTGACAAAAACTGAGTTATATTAGACAGGTAAGACACATCAATATCAATGTTTATATTATTATTTCTGTAAACATATTATTCTCTGCTGAGCCACTTTCTGTATTTTTTTGTTCTTTTATAGCTTCATTTTTCCAAGAACTAATAATTGCCTGATTTATTCAGAAAACTAACATAGTATTCTGTGTTCCTTTTGCCCTTTTCCCTACATGTTTCAAAAGTATTGTCAAATGCCCATCAATATTTTTGATATGTTTGGCCAGGCATGGTGGCTCATGCCTGTAATCCCAGCACTTTGGGAGGCTGAGGTGGGTGGATCACCTGAAGTCAGGAGTTCGAGATCAGCTTGGTCAACTGTGGTGAAACCCTGTCTCTACAAAAAATACAAATACTAGCCGGATGTAGTGGTGGGCACCTGTAATCCCAGCTGCTCGGGAGGCTGAGGCAGAAGAATCGCTTCAACCTGGGAGGCAGAGGTTGCAGTGAGCTGAGATTGTGCCACTGCACTCCATACAACATGGGTGACAGAGCAAGACTCTGTCGCAAAAAATTATCTATCTATCTATCTAGATGCATATCTATTTATGTCTATCTAGATACATTTATCTCTATATTTATATAGATAAATATAGATCTATACAGATAGAGATATATCTATCTATATAGATAAAGATACATCTATTTATCTCTATAAAGATATAGAGATATATCTATAGATATAGAGATAGATAAATATAGATAGATATATCAAAATGCATCAGTCCATTTTAATAGATAGCTATATCTAGATAGCTCTATTTATCTAGCTCTATATGTATCTATCTATCTATCTATATCTCTATATAGATGTAAAGATAGATACGTCTGTATCTATATAGATATAGATATATCTATATCTCTGTATCTAGATATGTATATAGCTCTCTATATCTCTCTATAGATAGATATATCTATCTATTAAAATGTATCAGTCCATTTTTCCCCCCTAGAGATACTTTTCCCTCCAAAGCCTTCTATCTTCCTTCTTCAATTCTCAATGCTTACCCTCTAGGCCTAATGGGCAGCTCTTCTCCTGGGATGTTCTTTTGCTGTGATTCTGAAAATCTCCTTTCACTTCAAGATACATAATTTCTGGCCGGGCGCTGTGGCTCACGCCTTTAATCCCAGCTCTTAGGGAGGCAGAGGCGGGAGGATAGCTTGAGCCCAGGAATTTGAGACCTGCCTGGGCAATATAGCGAGACCCCGTTCTCTACAAAAAAAGGAAAAAAACAAAAAGACAAAAAAAAAAAAAAAGATACATCATTTCTTGGATTCTGTGTCTTCCTCTTTCATACTTTGCTCCCTCATTTTGGTGGAGCACATCCTCCAGTAGCTTCATAACAAAAGTATGAGTAATAAATATACTGAGGCATTTCTGCATAAAATAAGTTTGTTCTACAATAGATATTAATAAATAATGTAATAGAAAAATATATATTTGCATGTATCACCTAGGAATAAGAATATTTTCCTACATAATCAAAGCATCTTTTTTCATACACATAAAAATATAATCATGTACCACCTAGCATTTCAGTCAAGGATGAATTACATATTTGACAGTTGTCCCATGATAATATAATACTGTATTTTTACTGTACCTTTTCTATGTTTAGATACACAAATACTATCATGTTACAGTTGGTTCCAGTATTCAGTACAGTAACAGTCTGTACAGGTTTGTAGTGTAGAAGCAATAAGATCTGAAATTCCCATTTCATCACTTTTATTGTAGTTTACTGTTCTCTCATTAAATTATTAATCTGACCTTTATCTTCTTGATCACAGTGACTATAAAGTTTATGTCCCAAGCTCCTTTTTATTTTTATTTATGTGTGTGTGTGTGTGTGTGTGTGTGTGTGTGTATATATATATATATATATATATATATATATATATATATGTAGTTTTTTTTTAAATAGAGACGGGTTTTCACCATGTTGGTCAGGCTGGTCTTGAACTCCTAACCTTGTGATCATCTGCCTCGACCTCCCAAAGTGCTGGGATTACAGGCATGAGCCACTGTGCCCGGCCTTATTTATATTTTTTAATTTATATTCTCTCTCCTTTTTATTTGTTTTAGTTCATATTTATTTGTTTTGGTTCATATTATCATGTATCTTTGTGTGTCTGGTTACTTTTAAATCATATATAGGACACTCTATTGATGAACTAATTTAGTTTGAGGGATCAAGACGATTTGGAGATGGCTTATAATTCTTGTGAATGCCTGTTTCAATTTTATTCTT